TGAGGCGCAATGCCACCCCTATGGGTGCCACCACACCTGGCCAGGATCTTAGCTGCGTGAGAGTGCCACAAAGGCCACCGCAGCTTGACTCTTAGTCCGCCAGTTAGCCACTCCCCACACAACGAAACACACACTGGACTGACCACGCGGGCCGAGTTATCAGTTAGCAACCCTCCAAGCCACAGCTTTTAGTCCACCATGATAGCTTCAAGTGTGTCAGAATGTTTATAGTTAGGAAAGAAATACGCTGAGTCGTCGACCTCACTCATGCACTCCTCCACCGCTCAGTGTAACAAAACAAAACTATGCTCCCTGAATGGAGCCGAATACAAAAAAAAGGAATCGAAACAAAGAGTGCAGTCGGCCAAAGCGTAGAACGAGTTGCTCATTTCGTCCAGGCCTTTACATAAAAAGGTGATCCGTCACGAGCCATGAGGATTACCACTGTCCCAGAGAGGACAAGAGGGTAAACCGGGCACATAGTACAGAGGAAAGGGGCTCTGGAATCATCTAACTCACTCTCTTCACACACCCACACTGTTTCAAGTCAGGGCAGCGTCTATTGGACTGGAAATATGCATGGAAATTGCGGCCGTGGCAAGAATTGCGTATACATAACGGGGCCTAACTGCATACGAACCAATCAGCAAGATAGGGGCCCCAAATATTTTGTTTAAAAAGACTGCAATCCAATACCATGGTAAAATGGAGCCATTACAGTTTGATGCTCATTCCTAAGCAGGGTCAAGCTACATCTTTACGTAGATAGTAGTACCGGCAAAGACAAGGGGACTGGAATGGCCCTTTCTGGCTTATTAGCCGTCGTCAGGCAGTCATACCCAGACCCAAGCGGTGTCCCACCCGAGCCTCGAGCTCGCGAATTTTTTGATCAGAGTCAAACGGCCTAGCCATCAAGCCACGAGCTCATTGTCTTGCCGGGTTAGGTCGAGGGATAGTGACACTCATTGATGAACGTTCACTCGACCGATAGCGGAACTCATTTGTCCCGCTCTGCCTAAGGTCTCGACAGAGGCTCTGACAAGCGTAGCAGCTGGTAGTACAGGCAGATAGTATTACCGGCACTGACCCCAGGCACAGCGGGACAGATGAGTTCCGTTAGCGGTCGGGTGAGTGTTCATTAACGAGTGTCAAATTATTTCTGTCAGCTGACAACATGCCCAGGCACATTGACGGGCACATTCGGCAGCCTTAAAAGAAAGCTTGATCGTTAGCGTGGAACTGAAGTATTGTATTTGGATAAGAGTGGCCTTAATCTATCGTTCTTTTCTATACCAATGTCCAGTGCGAGTCAAACCAATTGGATATGCGATCGCGTGCAACTGCCGATGTGGTGTGGAGTCTTCGTCTACGCGTTCCACACACGCGCTTACCCCGGAAACTAAACAGCATAGTCCAGGGCAAAAGTCACGTCACAGGAATAAATTGACTTAATATAGAGGAGCTTGAGGTACAGTAAATTAGTACAAAACTATAATATACTAGAGGAATAAGTGATTCCGCTCAGGAACGACCGAATTTAACGCCTACTGCAAGAAGCATGGCACTCGCACGCGGACTCTATTAATAGGCATATCGATCTCCCAGACGCCTATCTTGCGTTGCGCGAGCACTGGCAAGGCTGAAGGTCACTCGCGGCGGAGCGAACATTGGGAACTCAAGGTCACTCCCGGCAGAGCTGATTTAACCACGCAGTGCGTTGTACGTTTTCT